ATGATTTGTGTTTCTAGTATATAACAAATTGCAAACAAAATAGCAGACACATGCCATTTATTTTACCACAGTATTGTAGTTCTCCCAAAAATGTTGTTAATGTCTTTCCAAACCTGAAGGACTTCTGTGGAACACAAAAGTTGTTATTTTGAAAAATGCCCTTTTTTCACACAATGAAAGTAAACAGGGTCCGGTGTTGTTTTGGACCCCATTGACCTTCATTGTATGGACAAAAACATCTGAAACTTTCTTCTAAATTTCTGAAAGAAAGAAATTAAGTCATACAGGTTTGTAATGAGAGTGAGTAAATGATGACAGAAATGTCATTTTTGGGGAAAACTTTCTCTTCAACACGTGTCAGGTTAACAAGTATGTTAAACACAAAGCTGACCCAATTGAGAATTTCACTAGCATGCTCGACACTCTTCATTCACAGGGTGTAAACAGTGAAGTTTTGAAAGCTGGTAGTTTTGAAAGCGTCCTTTACCTCACCAATGTTAATGGTTACCCATGGAGAAATGTTGATGTTTGCTGTTGTGAATGGATTTACACAGTAATCTTTAAGCTAGCTGGTTAGTCAGCCGTTGTAATGAATGGTTTCAATGATTACAAACATGTCCGTGTGGTGTTAAACCTGGCTGCTTCAGCATTTTCACCTGCTGAACTGTGTTAATCTTTCAAAGCCTCAACCCCCGTATACATCACGTTTGTTCTTTTTTTAGTCTGATATTCATGCCGGCTTAATCTTTAGGCTCAGCTCTTTCATTCATTCGTTGTAATTAGAGCAGACTGCCCTGCCAAGACCCCAGAATAGCACCTGGTTGCCAAAGAAACAGGCCTCTCCATCCCTCTATCCAACCACAAAGGGAGATTTGTCCCACAATCCACTTTATGTGTTCAGAAGTGTTGTAGTAGATTACTTATAATCCTGTATATTGGCTGACAAAATTGTTTTGATCAACTCAGTTGACTTCCTGCTTATCTCAAGAATGCGATTCTGTAAAGGTCGGCGTGTTGCAATCCTGTCTGTGGGTGTGCCTTGTATCGAAGGTGAAACATTTGCCAGTTGAAGGAAGTTTTTTTCTCATACGATGTGGGCGGGTACGTCACAGCGTAGCTGCTGAGGACGTCCTGTGTCTCTAAAAACGTGCAATGTGTAAGAGGAAGCATGATGTCAGTCGCAGCCTTGGTAATGCAGTGTAGGTGTCTGTGAGTCCACCCACAGATATAGCAAAGATCCGCCTCCCAGCCTGCCAGGGTGAAGCAAAGCTGGCCGTCTAGTAGCCAACAGCCCTCTCCTTCCCCCCCAACTCCTGTCCCTACGAAAGCTCCCTCTTAATCCGAGGCCTGTTGAGAGGCCCGGTAACCAGGGCAACAGTCTTGTATGCATGTCAGCTGATGTGTGTCCAAAGTGCCTGCAGTGCACAAAAGGGGGAGAAAACAAGTCGTCTTTGTTGGAGTGGCTGCATCACCAAAGGTCGTTATAAAGAGCTGATAGGGACTGATCTTTTCTCTTACGTCTCTCATCAAATTGCGTCCAAAGGTTGTCCTTACTTAGAAAATGTGCGTGTTTGTACATGTTTACAATCAAGTTATCATGGAACAAATGAAATACTTCAGTCTTTCTTGACTTGTTATATAATACTACTGTGCAGAAGTTTAGTTTTCACCAAGTGTTGACTGACCCGACTCATCAGCCGTGAACCTTAAATCTGGTGTCTCAGGTTGCCAGGTTTCATGTTTCCTTGCTGCTGCCAGAAAGTCACCCTGAAAGACGTGATGCCAGATTTCTAGATGACTGACACTAGGGGGACTCCATCTGTCTGTGTAAATATCTGCATTCGGAGGTCAACAAAACACTGTTATTGCATTGGCTTCATCATGGGACAGCCTGTGATGCAGGCCCAGTGTAGACTAGATGTCTCACATTCATAACACATTCTTCTTGCATTTTTGTATTAGTATTATATTGTGTTTATGCCATTATTTTTAAAGCATTTTTTGGTAACACTTTCTATGAAGCCCGCCCGTATTTATAATAAATTATAAGGGTATTCTTAAGGCATTATAATTAATGCATAATGCATTATAAAAAATTATAATATGTTGTATCATCTCATAATTAATCATAACAACAATTATACCTACGCATTTGTGGTTATAACTTTTAAGTGTATGACCATTTATAACACACAATGAATGCCTTATTAAATCCACTTAATTTATTTAAGATCTGCACATTATCTTACCACATCTTGTGAGTGGTTAGGAGTGGTTGAGTATTTTTGAGTGTTTCCTGTGACGTTAATGTTAATTTTACTGTAAGCTAGTTTAAGCTCAGTTGTAATATTTTCAAATTAAAATATGCAATGATTTGCTTAGAGTCAGAAGAATGTCTGTTGGGGAACCATCAAAATAAAGTGTTTGCATTTATTTAGCAGACATACTACTAATACTCCAACGAGGCTAGTTGACATGTAGTTGCAAAGTTATCATCAAAATAACCATACTGATATTACAATAAAAATAGTTCAAAGTTTTTAGGGGGGCTATAGAATGATATAAAATGACTACTCAGCCCCCCTAAAATTTTGCGATTAGCTCCATAAACTGTACACGAATTAGTGATCGCCTCAGTCCCCTTTAAATTTCATATGAAAATGGCGACAGACTTCGATCGGCTCCTCTACGTCTTTCAGCGTGTTCTTTTTCAATCCGCAGACCGCGGCGGCGCAGCACGACAAACAGAGGACGACAAGGTGTGTTTATCGATAGATTGTTATAATATCTGCATCTGTGCAGTTCTTTGTCATAAATACAGTTTACAAAATATCATGGGGGAGCAATATTCGGTTCCCCATCTACTGTAGCCTAAGTTTTCGCTGCGTTCACCCCTCATCACACCACAGCTGTTTCCTCCAGC